GGTTTAGGGTTTAAACCCCAAACCCAAATAACTTGTTGTTTTTGGTCAAAAAGAAATTGGCTACTCTCCCCAAAAACCGGCTACTCTCCCCGCATAATTGGTCATCGTCCGGCCATAAACAATCGGCTGATCTACCCAAGTAATTGGTTACTCTCCCCACCTAACTGGTTAATCTCCGGCCAAAAACAATTGGTTACTCTCCCCATAATGGGTGTATTTCCCCCTCAGCATCCTATAAAGAATTGTAGGTANNAGGCCGGGCCTGAGTTAGAAATACCACCTAAAGTCCGAAACGCTAAGCCCTACATGAACGGGGTTGTAAGTATCCTGAACTCCCAAACCCTAAATTGCCGAGGCTAATTTGGTGGGCCATTGGCACTGCCGTGTCTTTCTTCCTGTGCATGGTAGATGTGCTTCCTCTGTTCCTTGCTCAGGTTCAGAGGCTTTTTGGGGGTTTCAAGGGCTTTTTAGGGCTAGGGCTTAGAGTTCAGGGGAGCGCAAGCAAACAGTCGTTGCATGGTCCCTAGTGTTGACTGTGCAGCGATTTCGAAGGGGGAAGATTTAAATAAAACCGCTTAACCATGTTATTACCTAAAACCCTCTACAGTTGCGGTTGTAGATGACATTCGTTTTTCGTAATATACTGGCAGATGGGTTTGAATTCGAGCCCAAACCCAATTGGGACCCGGGGGTTGGGATTGTTGAATGACGACTGCGGGTTCTTGATTTAGTCCTCAGCCCCAAAGCCTTCGCCGCAAACAAGTGAAATCCGTTACAGTGCAACTAAATCCATTGAACATCTAATTAGCTCAATTAGTTAGAGCCGAGTGAGAACCTATTACAACCACACTACAATCAGTTGAAATCTGATTGACCCTTGCAATCTAATCAGAAGGAGTTAGATTCAAGTTCAATCGATATCCGCGAGAAATTGCACTAAGATCCATGAACAACAAGTTTCAATGGCCTCACAATTAACCAAGCAAAGAATCTTTGCATAATTGGCACACCCCCAAATCATTTACATCATTGAGGTTCAGGGGGCCTTCCGGACTTGCCCGCTTTGCACAAACTTCAAACCTCTCTAAATCTTTGAATAGTTGAACCACTCCCCCCCCCCCCCCCGTCCCAAAAACGAAGACCTACATTATA